AGATGTATACCATTACACTCGCTTTAGGGCGCTGATTCCAAAACTGACTTCTGTTCTTGCCAATCGTTTCTCTGAAAATACTTATGGAAGATTTTTGCGCAGGAGGAAGTAGGGTCGGAATGCCACAACCGCCGCTACGATGTAGTGGCTACAGCGATAGCCTCAAGTTAGCGCAGGTTTAATTCGAGTCGTTCTTTGTTTTTCAGTTTCTGTATTGCCTCAATCGCTTCTCTTTTATAGTTAGGCATCCTCGACTATAATTCTCTTGGACGACCAATGACGCGAAAATCCTTCATAACTTCTTTTAGAGCAACGCTCAGCAGAAACGGAATTTTGATTCGGAGCTAGCTTTCCAAGACGAACCTGATGGTGTACGTTTCATGTCAAAAGGCCACAGACACCAAGTATTGTTTCCATGTTAGTCGGAAAATGAATGATATGTCAGATTTACCGCACCGTTTTCACCCGATTTTCAAGCTTCTTTCGCTTTTGCTATGTACTTTACCTCTCTCCTCTATTTATAGTTAGACTTCATCATTTGAATGGCAAGGATCACTAAGCTGACAATCTTTAATTACGACAAAAGAGAGGCCAATTTCCCTTCTCAGCAGGGTATAAATACTCATGGACAAGGGAGCTCATTTTACAACATTTTTGGTAGTATAAACCGTCGAAGAGAAGCGAAACTCCGGTTTTCATAGAGAACCTAGAGCCCTGCTGACAAGGTCAAATTGAGTTTGAGTCCCTTTGTTGTACTGGTCGAAGTTTAACAAGTTTTGTAGCTCCTAATCTTTGCTAATTTTATAGGCCTTCGTAAAATCGTGAACAATTTCGACTACAGTCTTCGCACCCACCCAAACGTCAAAAGAATGTGAAGTTTCGAACAAAATGCATCCCATCACTTCCGGTATCTACCTATAAGCTATTATATGCTCTGAATTTCGATTCGAATAGGGATGGAAGAGATAATCCGCTTGTCAAAACTGTGTACGCTACGCGCGCGGCCACACCATTTTACAGTTTCATGGTTGACCTATACGGTTTCAATTATTTGCAGTTGATATGTTAAATCATCCCTTTATGGCCGCCAAGGTTCTCCGCTTGGCCCTCACAAGATTGATAAACGCGCTGATTTGACTAATCATGGAGCGACTCAGCAGCAGCTAACAAGGGAATGTTCAGAAATCGAAGCGGCCAATCCAAACAATCAGCAACTATTATATAAAGAACTAGCTGGCTTACCCGGCTCCGCCGTATGTTCCGAATAGAAAATTCCATTTCTTAACCGATCCGAACCAAACTTGGCACACATGCACTTTGGGCCCCGGCGGGTGTCACAGTCCACTTTTCGTTATCGATTGATGTCGATTTTATCGATTTTTTGCAAAATTTGAGCTAGGGGGCTGGGATTTGGCACAGGAGGGTATTCGAGCATGCTGAACCCCCACGGGGGTGATCAGCATGCTCGATTACCCCCCTGTGCCAAATCCCAGCCCCGTAGCTCAAACTTTGCAAAAAAATCGATAAAATCGATAAAAGTAATGCACGATTTCAAAAACTACTATTGTATTCGGAATCCCCATGCTCACTTACCTCCCTGTGCCAACTCCCAGCCCCGTAGCTCAAATTTTGCAAAAAATCGATAAAATCGATATCGATCGATGACGAAAAGTAGCCTATGACACGCGCCGGGGCCCGAAGTGTATGTGTGCCAAGTTTGGTCCGGATCGGTTCAGAAATGGAATTTTCTATTCGGAACATACGTACACACAGACAGACAGACTGACAGACAGACATACATACAAACAGACATTCAGCTTTATATATAAGATCGTTAACTCAATTCAAAAATCTGCAAATAGCGGGAAGCGCGGCGGTCCTGAAGCAAACGCTCTTCCAAATAGCACCTTTAGATTACTGGTTCACTAATACCGTTAGATGCAGCATAAAAGCTGACTCTGAATTTCTATTCCGTATCTGCTTACAGTCTTTTTCAGCCCGGACTAGGCGGAACATCCCAAGTGGAGCAGCGCGTCCGCACCGCACTGGCTCAGCGAGACAGATTAGAATGAAGAGACGCAGACTGCAAAGTGGCGCGAATCGTTGCGAAGCGGACTCCCGCCAGTTTAACTTCCGCCTAAACTGAGTTGCAACTTACTATACCTGTGTGGGCGAAGTTACAAGCCGTTAAAGACAGTTATTTTGCTAAGAAATCGTGCATGCAAAGCGCAAATTTAGCAATACAGAGCCATGTTCGGCCCAATGTTGTGCCAAAACATGCAGCTACAGGGCTCCTAAATTGCAGAGTCGTTTGCACCAGCGGTCGCGCGACCGCGTCGCGCGGGCATCAATGGCGCCGGCAAAATGTCCGAGCGCGACGCGGTCGCGCGACCGCTGGTGCAAACGACTCCGCAGTTTAGGAGCCCTGTAGGTTACTTTGTGATCTTACAAGGAATGCATGTTTAGTCGAAGTGGCCTTTTTAGATGGGACGTATACCATATTGAAGGGCATAAATTGCTGTTCTAAAATCTGCCTTCCTTATCTGCACAGCGTTTACGGACGAGAAGCTATGAGCGCTTATTGAGGCAAAAAGAATGTGCAAGTAGACAAAAATAGCCGTAATACTTTCTCTAGCTCTTTGAAGGCAGCGTCCGGGCAGATACGGAAATGTACATTGCGGGAGCACCCGTCCTGATAAGGCTCTTGCCCAACTGGCAATGCACCAATTTGCTTCTGAAGCGAGAAATCTGCTTCAGAAGTGGCGACCGGAACGCCCCGACGACCGGGGACGAGTTAGTTCGATAAGCCAGAGTGCGCATACCGCACACAGTCAAGACGTAGGGTCCCACAAAGACTCTGCGTCTTAACCTTGGCGGCAGGCGACAAAATTCAAATCAAGAGCTTCTGGAAAAGCCGGTTTTCGGCGTTTTCGTGCCCTCCAAGCTGCATTTTCAGAATCAGAGGGAAGAATAAGCCCAGGTAAGCGAAAAAAATTCCGTTCGAGATCTTCCCGGACGCTGCCTTTAATGGAGCAGTGATAATCATCAGAGCACTTTATTCAACAAGTACTCTCAAATAAGAAGTATATCACTCTTGGTTGCATTATTTGAGGGCTATGATTTTAGCAACTCATTTTAACAATGCACATCCAAGTTTTGGCTTCAAAAAACACTCATAACTTCTCGAGCATAAACGCTCTGCAGATAAGAAAGGCAGATTTGGAGTCACCGTTTTATGCCCTTCAATATGGTATACATCTCATTTAGAAAGGCCACTTTGACTAAACAAGCTTCCCTTTTTGGAGTCTGAAGGTGAGCTGAATGTGCAACAATGTGCTCAATTTCGCAATTATGCACGATATTTTGCCATAAAACTGCTCATAACTTCGTCCACAAGGCAAGCAAATCTGGAATGCAGATTCGAAATCAGTGTTGAATGCTTTATGGAATAGTAGGCAGCTTGCTTGGATTGGACACTTCGACTTCTTACCATTCCCTTGTAATTCTGACACCTACTGATGCAATGTTAAAGCAAATTGATTTTTGACCCTTCAGTTCTGGTCGAACTCTAACCGCCGCAACCTCACAAAAGTCTTATGTGCATTATTTTCTTTGTGATCAGCAAGCATGTCAAATGGCTCTACAGGAGCGGATTTCGTTTCTCCGAGCGGTTACCTGCAGTATTCTCGTACGAAAAAACCTTATCATTCATTTTGTGACTGAGAGATATGAGCGCGCTTTGCGCTGGTCTGATTAACACGTTTCGGACCGCGAAATCGCGCGCGGCGAAAAAGAGGGTACTTTCAGCCGTTAGCCAACAAAGGGCCTTAATTCGTAGACTGTGTGCTACATCTGTAACCAGCATGTCAGATAAGATCCATATCCAAAGTTCTGAGTGAATTCGAAGTGTTTGAATTTTGTCGGCTGAGAATGTGTGCTTTCTTGAAAGATAGGAACAAGAACTCAGTTCCTAATCCTGTTCAAAAGTATTTTGTTGTATACAGTACACATCAATGCTGAAACACGGTTTTTCTCTTCGAAATAGGAGCAAAGAAAAGTTGCGACGTCGCACGCGTCGTTCGCGTTGCCGCACTTCATTGCAACTGTTGTTCGAATTGTCCTCATATCTTCTGAACATATATCGGACAGCCTCACAGAGTCATTTGTAAAGGAGGAGCTTAGGCCTTTGATTTGATAACCTTGGACAAAAAGCAAACTTCCTGCAAACATTGAAAAGATCCTTGAAAGGCGCGTGCTGCTGGTCCGAAACGTGTTAACAAGTTTAAGAGCGCGTTTTACTGCGTTTTAGTAAATTACTTTCGAGGATTCATGTGAGAACATGTTTAATCTTGCGTTGTTTAACGAGCTCAAACATGTTGTTCCACGAATTCTCAACAGTAATTTACCAAAACGCGTTAAAATGTACTCATGAACTTGTTAATCATACGTACGCAAAGCGTGCTCGTGTCTCCTATTCAGAGAATAAATGATACTATGCAAGTGTGATATGGTAGTCGCCACGTGAAATAGTTCTTCTAGGGCAAGATTGAGCGGAACTCATGTCTTTAAAAAATTTTTCCTGCTGAGTATTTGAACATCGGAAGCAAATCAGCAGCACACTAGCTTTCTCCGAATGGCCAACCTTCACCCCTTTCGCGGCATCTGTTCTGCTTCCTTCTCCCTTCGCACTTTGTCTTCGGGATTACACGACTTTTTCATTTTGGATGCTGCATATAGTAACCTTATTATGTCAACGGGCAGCTCCAACGCAGCAGCTGTCCATATCGCATTGCAAACGTTGCGCGCTCATTCTCCGCTGAACAGCGAGCTGTGGCCATCTGCGATCGCCTAAATCGACACACAGCGGTGGCCGGGTGTGCTGAGAGCGGGTGAGGCTCGGGGATAAACTCTGCGAACAGAGATCGACCTCTCTCGGTGGTGTCGCTTGCATTGTGTCGGCGGGGGATTGGACGCGGCGAGGGCGGCTGCGCGCGGCGCCAGCCGGTCAGAGCGTGCGGCGAGAGCAGCACGTCGACGGCGGAGCGCGCAGACATCGCCGCGGAGCGCCAGCCAACGTCAGCCGCGTTGTCGCAGTGTACGTCGACGTCCTCAGCGGCGCTATGGCTTGTCAAACCGGCATTCGAGGTTCGTTCTTACTTTGGGATTAGCTTTATCGCATTGCAATCCTGTTTATCTGCCCGTCGGACGTATCACTTCCTCTAGTGTTTCTTAACTTGCTTTACCTGTTTCCATCCCGATTTCTTTAAGATCTGGTTCGTAGTCGTTTATCTCACGCGCAAGCACATTGGAGGCGTTGCCCTTGCGGCGATTCTCTGCCAAGGATCCAACTTTTGCTCTCTTCGGCCTTTTTTTGTGTAGTTGCACAAAAACTAGGGCAAACGGCGGAAGTGGCGACATTTGCTGAAAAATACTAAAAATAGCGTTTCTTTGTGTTCCCAGTCTTTATGGGTGTGATTTCACTACATTTCCTAATTTCAATACAGATCAAAAAACAATCTTGGAAATCTTGCATCTGCTATGGTAGGATTATCTGTTTACTTTGTTTTTCACCATTATAATTTGAATCTTATATCCCTTGGTGCTGAAGCATCATTGGCTTCTTCACTTTGTGTTCCCTACAACATTCACTTGGCTAGGGGGGGCACGCGTTATGGAGCAAAGCTACGCCGCATTCCCCTGCGGTATATCCTGAGGGCCATTTGCGTTGCGTCGTCTTTAATTGCAGCTGCGGGAGTAGGCTGCTCATGCCAGCGGATTGAGCCATTCCCTACTACTACGATCTGATATGTTCTGTATAAATGCAATAAAGAAAACAAAGAAGGCTGCAATTTGAAAAATTAAAAGAAATATAGATGGATCTTAGGGATGTTTGAAAGGCTGACTGATATATCCAATGCGCTGGATTTGAGTTAAAAGTGTTCAAGAAGTGGAACACGACAATTAGTAGAGAAAATGTAGAGGTTTTCCGCCAATAACTTTCCAAGAGAAATCCATCTTTTACTTTCTCTTGGCTTGCTTGCAGACGCTTCTTCCTCATATTCTAAATTTAATTCGCCCTTGAAATGCGTTTATCATCCGCATTTTGATCTCTTCATCTATGGAAAATATGGGGAATGGCTCAGTCCGCTGGGTAGCGCTAGCTCCTTTGCGACTGCGATCAGGAGCGATGCAACGCAAAGGGCCCTCAGGATATACCATAGGCAAATGCGGCATAGCTTTGCTCCATAACGCGGCGCCGCCCTTGGCTAGTAAGCTTTTATGTTTTTAATGAATTCACAGATTAGTTTTGACCTTAGATGGTTGCTTGTCCAAAAATCGCATAACCATTCCAAATTACTCGTGCTTTTGCCTCCATATGCTGCAACAGTTTTCTGGAATCTTGTGTAAAGTCAGCTGTTTAGCGCAAGTTCATCCGTTCTGTTTGTACCGGAAATGCTTCACTCTCCTGCAAACGAAACTTTTGAAGCGTTGAAGTTTTGTGATGTAATGATTACAGTTTTGAATCGTACGTGCTGCAGAAGTGATTTGAACGTCGCCGCAGTCCTCCATCAAATGATAGGAATACATATCAGTTTCGATAAGGAAGAATGTCAAAAAGTGATTGCTTCTTAACGAACAGATTGCTTTGCTTGTAATTGACTTTGTCAATATTGAGTCGATTGGGACACTCATGGTAATTCGAAGAAATTCCCATGAAATATAAGTCTGTGTGTGCAATCAATGTTTTTAACCAACACTTGAGAGGAAAAAGCGCAACGCACTTAATTTGATCGCTAAGCAAAAGTGAAAGTGTGCGGAGCACTTGAACGAATTCCGCTGCCTCTGGGGTAAACATTATTGCGCAAGACCACTTTTTTATCGTTTCAGTCCTTAAGGAAGCCGTAATCCTTATCCTTAATCAATCAGAATGAAGCGAATGACATACTTTTACTAATTTTATCTGAAGCGGTAGTAATTACTCAGAACAGCAAGCAAGTTCTGTAGTCCATGTTTGTACTCGCAAGCTCCTGATGTATCCAAAAGTCATCACATCAAACATTTATGGAAAGACGACTTCTCGAGGCTTATGTAAAGACTAAAACAAATAAAATGTAAAAAAAAATAAATGCTTTGTCATCGAAAGATGACATCTCAAGTATTATCTCGTTAAGATATGACGTTTCAAAGCAAATGTTTTTTTTGTGGGAGACTGTAATCTTTCTCATCCAAAACTACTTAAATTGCCTGTGATAAGAGGTCTTTGTTCTCTGTGCTCACATAATCAGTTCATTACCGTTATATCGGGCCAGCTAATGGATAAATGACATCACAGAAAAATGGATTTTGGTGAAATGCACGGAAATGCACGACCCATGACAAAAAAAGCTTTCATTGCTCTAGATATTATTTGACTGCCCATTTCTTCGCCACGCCACCGTTAAGATTTCCATAGCAGCTTACTCGCATTACCGATCCATTTTTTCTTTTGGACCTGTGACGCTGTAAGCTGCTATACGGAAATAACGGTGGCTTTTTTAATATGCCGACCTGCATATTCTACTCTTCAAATCGGAATCTTTTTCTTCTTTCTTTTGTAGACTTCTGTGCTCTCTTCTGCACTCTTCATGCAAAGCCACTCACCCTTTTCAGCTTGTTTGTCAAATTTGATTTTATCAGCTGTCCTTATGTCCTTACCATTCTACGTTTATGTGTTGTTCTATATATTATTATGAACAGTAGAACGTTGTTCCATTTTATGACAACTGAAATTTTACATTGATGGGATTCGCTATTCAGAAAAGTAAGGGGAGAGGTGTCTGTTTTTTTTTTTGCTTGTGAGTTGGGGTTGTCAATTCATCTAAAGTTCATAATAAAAGCAGCAAAGCAGAAAGCTTCCACCTGCAGCAACCTGCTGCCCTAGATCTACACCTATTGTTACTGGTGTTTACTTAGCTTTTTACGCCGACCTTTACAGCAGTGATGATTGTCATTGTGTTTCATCAACGTGTTTATGGCGAAATGTGTTCCTTTCTGTGAGACATAACGTTACAAACGACTTCAAGCTAGGTTTGAGTTGTGAAAAGTATCGGGATTTTTGCTGAAGGAGGCTAATTCTCACTTTTGGAGTCAGAAGACCAGGAAAATGGAGCTATCTCCTCGCTCTTCATAGTCTTTTGACTCCCAAAGTGTGCCCAGTGCTATTATTGCGCAAGATTTTGCCTCTTTTGCTAACTCTGGATAAGGAGATGGAACAATAAAGCTATAAGCTAGTGGCCTAATGCTTGATGCTGGAACATTCGCGAGATCAAAGATTTTCCTTAGAATTCTGAATTTTTTTCACGTGTTATGATGCCCGTTTCTGTGATAAGCCGAACCAAGCAGTGTGGGTGATGGAGGGCTTGATCAAATAGAAATCTATTGGGGCACTGTCTTTAGTTTGTGCGATTAGTGATTTTCGTTACCTGCAGATTTCACTAATGTAAGATATAGGCTGCTGCCTGAGGAAGGTGCACGGAGAGAATACGTTCGCGCCACGTTCGCGCCCATTCAATTTATACAACTTTTGCGCCTTCGTGCGGCAGTAGTCTTTAGTCATAACTTCTTGGTCGCTTAGTATCAAGCAAACTCGCCTTCTTCAAGGCGCGTGGGTAATGAGCAAGTGTAACCCGATTCAATAGCTGTCAAAGGAAGTCCCTAGGTATGCCATTCTATCCTCATTTAGAGGCTCTGAAGAGGGCAGTTTGATTTAAACAGCCGTATAAAGCTAGTATGTCCGTTGGTGGTGAAGGCTGAACTATCTCGGAATGACACTGCCAGATCGCTGAAAGTCGTTGCAGAGCGTTAACCTTCTTCATTTATTTGCACTCTGGGAACAATAAGCTTTCTATAGTCTTTCCTGCTTTTTTTTTCAGCAATCAGAAGCCCAGATTGAGCAATCTTTTTGTCTCTCGTTGTCTCCAAGCAATACCCTTTATCATTGAGCTAATGCATTTCATGAATCTCAAGAATGTACCCTGACTATTTCAGCCAATGAAGCACTTCGGCATGCATTCAACCTAGGGAAGCAAGCCAAACTACGTTTGATAAAGATTGTCGTCAGGAATGGTGAGTTGCATCTATCAAATTGTTGAACTTTCATCTTTTTTCTTACGAGTGTTGCAGGATTGACAAAATGTTTACGTTGATTTCTTTCTTTATTGCAGTTTTTGTTTTTAACTTCGTATGAGCGCATTATCACTCACTCTTGAAACTACCGTATCAGTTCTTTTGCAGGAGTTAATTACGGGGATCTAAAAGTTTTGTGAACGTTTGTTCAAGTGTTTGCTTTGCTCTCAGAGATCAAGATGCTGTTTTCGTGTTCGACTGATCATCGAAGCTTTGCTATAATGCCTCTTTTTTCCTTAGAACGCGAAATGCGTCACCTTTGAAGTGGAATCTTCCAATGAGATTCATTCGTCTCGTCTAAGCGATTGATGTCAAAATTTTTATCAGGGTATGGAAAGATGCAGCCATCAAATGAGCCACCACCCCATATACAATTTCTCATCACTGGTTTGCATTGATTGCGTGCATCATTTTGAAATCCAAGCATTCAAACAGAGCATGCATTCCACGGCAGTGGCGAATCTGAAAGCAGTTTTTGCGGAATCATGCGCTTCTAGTTGTCTCAGCTTTCTTCCCGTAGATATCACGGTTTCTCATTCCTCTCACACCTTTCGCCGCCGTTGGCACTATTTCTTGAACCTTGTGAGTTTTGGTAGTGATTCTGCCCCAATGACATTTTATAGGCAGCAAATGGGTTACGTCGCGGTGGCACCTATGGTTGGGTGCTAATCCGTGAGTTCCGGAAGAGTTCCAGCGCAACGCTCGAATGGTGCGCTGTGTTGGGACTGTTCCGGAAGTTAGGTAGGTGCCAGAGTAAGCGAATATTTTGTTCAAGTTGGGGTCCCGCGCAGAACTGGCGTTACTAATCATTGTGGCACAACGCCAAGTTGGCATTATGCCACAATGATTAGTGATGCTAGTTCTGCGCGGGACCCCAACTTGAACAAAATATTCGCTTACTCTGGCACCTACCTTACCGATCAGTAGTCCAGCCCATGGAAGGAATCTCAGAACACAAACTATGTTTGAATCATAGTCCTTTGCTACCGCCGCTACGCAGCTTGTCCGCGGCCTGATGCATAGGTGCAGAATCACATACATGCTTTTGGAAAAGACGCGTTAACGGAAGCTCCAAGGCGCGAATGGCATGCACAGATACTTATCGGAAATACCGCTGAGTGCAGACTGCGTATGGTGGTTGCAAGGTCTTTGCATGTGGGGACAGGTACCTCGAGTGGATGGCTCATCATGCGTCAAGCACATACACTTCGAATTTTCATTGCGCTTCCAGCGATATAAAAGACAGATCGTTGTTGTCATTTTGGCTCTTGAGTGTTAACTATTAACTCAGCAAGTCACATGTGTATGCAGCTGACTGATTTTTTTAAGCCAAGCATGCAAGCTCAAAGAAACTTGTAGTATGATGGTTAGACGTGAAGAGTAGAGTGGCTCATATAGTATATATAGTATTGATATTTCTGCACGATTTATTTTCATCTTCAAAGAGTCACTTGTGAAGTGTGAAGATTTTTTTTCGGCTAATCAGAGTTCAGTAGCGTTTAGTTCGTCGGCCGCGAAATCCCTGTTTAAGGACTGTCTGTACTTATAAATGTGTAAAGATTATTCATTCTTATGAATGAATAATCTTTAATGATGATGTTAATGATGTGATTAGTCATTACGAAAGGCAGAGTTTTGATGTTGATTCCTTGAACATGGGTGTGGTGCGGAAGGAGACAATCTCGATATTTGTGCCACTTCAAAACTCTTCAATAAAGTGACACGGCAAACTGGAGGGGAGGGGGGGGGGGGGAGGGGGATTAAGGTGGGGCAGCCACATGAATGTATGCTGCTAGTAGAATTGTGTAGAAGTTAGCGAGTAGGTTCCTATTAAGGATCTTGCATTCTGCGAGTATTGGTGCCTCTGCTGCCCCCCCCCCCCCCCTCGAGTGTGTTTATATGTTGGCGCAAACTTTCTTATGTAAGCTGTAAAAGATTGTGGATTACTCACTCATGAACGTTTTTTGAATAAACATAAACAAATTTTCATGGGCAGTTACACTATCTTAAACTCCTTCTACTTATGCAACGTTACTATTGGCAGTATGCTTATCTAATAACTTAAGGCGCTGAGTCACGCTGTATATCTCAGTTTCCACTGTCAATCATTCAGGCCAGCCCTTTTGACAGCAAAACTGTTTATGGTTTTGCTAAGCCATAAACTCCCCAGTTTATCTCTTTTCAATGCAAAATGACTTTCAACGACGAAACGGCTAAGACAGAAGAATAATTGTATATGAGGGTTCTAATTTTTTTGACCGGTGAAAAACAGTTCGCCACTTTTAAGCAGTTTCTGAAGTTTTGCGATATGTGGATGGTAATGCAAGTTATGTGAATCTCGATCCTAACAGGCGTGTAATAACAAAACTTCTTCAAATATTCTTAGGTTTTCACAATTTTCTTATGCCTTACATGCATTACGTATTTTCTAGCTTCTTTCTCTTGTGTCTGCGTATTATACATTGTCAGTGTTGTGCATTTTCACGCGTAGAAACTGTTGCTTTCTTCTGCCCATCCTATGTTGACTAATAAGCTTCGTAAGCTCTGAAGTTGGAAATTTTTGTTTTCTTTTGACCGTTTGCTTATGAATCATTTCTTGAAGAACAATATTATGACTGCATTTGCATTTTCAAGTTATATGTATGGGAATGATCAACATTCACATTATTGATGCATTCATATTCTGCTCGAAACTTTAGCTTAAATTCCACTTTCCAGAAGAGCTTACTCCCAATTATGAATATGCGGGTACTAATAATTGGCGAGACGATTGGCGTGCCACATTACCGGAATGCGTTGATGCATTTGAGCCGTGCTTCATATTGTTTCGTCTAAATACTATTACTGAATGGATTTTGATATCGTGAGTATATTTAGTGCATTCTTAGGCTTATTTATAAGTTGTTGCCCCACGTGGTGTGCTTCAGTAAGTATAGAACTAGCTGAATATTTGACAGTGATACTGAGCTTTTTAATTCTTTGGTTCGTCGGTCAAAGATTTTTATTATAATGCGGGTAGGTGTTATCTTGTCGTGCAATTGAACCACGTATAGAATGAGTCTAGAGGTTGAAAATGAAATTTCTCCGATTCCGCTGTACAATTAGGGTGGTAATCACAGGCTAGTGTAGTCACGCTCATTATAGTATCTTGCGTGCCAAGATAATTGAGCTACAAAATCTGCACTTGTACAAATAGTCATGCCTGAAATACCGACATCTTACACGCGCAGATTGCCGGGATCACATGCGCAGCTATCGGATTACACGCACGTTTTGTAGCCCAATCTTGGCATCGCAGGGACACTATATCAAGCGTTAGATCTATCAGTCTATATATGGCCAGTTTGTAAGTCTAAAAATTCCAGGTTCGCGGACGATCGTGCACCTGTCAAAGAAAAAATGCTACTCGCGGCCACACATGCAACTTTCAAAAGTGAATTTGGCCCCGTTTATGTGGAATACGAAAAGCACGTAACAGATAGAAAGGTGACCAAATAATTCGTTTTGGAAGTGGCTGATGGAGGGTTGTCAGTTTCTTCTATTGGTTAAACACCATGTATGGAGAGCTCATTTCTTTCAGGACCTAACTTTAGAATCTTTCGAGAACTGGTTAAAAACCAAAGAAGAATTAGGACCCATGAGCGAAGTTGAGAGAGGCTAGTTTGCTTTTATTTTTTGGGTGCAGCTACCCTTATTCTCGGTCCTTTATCTGCAGAACTACATAACGTACAGCAGGAGCGCGCTGCAGTCGCTCACGCAGGACCTCAACACATGAAAGGAGTTGCTTTTCCGCTGGATCGAAATGCTGAGGATGCAGTTCGGAAACTGGCCCACGGATCGCTAGCTCTCGTTCAATTATCGGTCAGTGTTTGGTACATCTAATCTAATATATAAAGAAACGTAAGCGCAGTTCAAAAATCTGCAAATGGCGGGAAACCGCATGGCGGTCCCGAAGCGAACGCTCTGCCTAATAACGCCTTCAGATTAATGGTTCACTACAAAATCTATCAATTTGATAAATGCATTTAGGTAGACACTTTGAATGAAGCAATTAAATTAGAAGCTACTGAGGAGAAATTACCCCCAAGTCAATTGGCTAGCAGAATACCGCGGGACAAACCGCGATACACTTTCTATCGAATGGACCACACTAACAATGGACACCCGCAATCTTCCACTTGTGAGTATTTTTGGTGGTATATTTTCTCGCTATATGACGAGTTTGTATACTTTCAGTCTTCATATACTCATTGCCAGCATCAGGTAGCTCTATTAAAGAGCGTATGTTGTATTCTAGCTGTAAATCTCCATTCCTTGAAACTGCAACCAAGCACCTAGGAGTTGAGATTAGTAAGAAGGTTGGTTTTAGTAGTTTTTGAATTTTAGGATAATTTTAGTTTTCGTTCTCTATTGGAGAGTTATTTTTTTTTCTAGAGTTTCATATTCATTATAAATTGGGGTAGGAGTAACAATTGCAGATGGAAGTTGATTCAAAAGACGACCTATCCGAGAAAGCGCTAATGGAAGCACTTTATCCGGTTCCGCAAGAGAGTCCGAAACTTTTTGCTCGACCAGCGCCACCACGAGGAGCGGGTGCACGTAGAATTACGAAAGTCTGATAGCTTTATACTCTCCTACTTTGCTAATTTGCTTATTTTCTATCTTCTTTCAGAATCCTCTTCCATCCATAATCCGCTAAATTGTACCACTATGTATAAAGACTGCCTGTAAAAGTGTCTACATAGGTGGATTCACCGTTTCCAAATTGTGTGAAAATGTTTGATATAAATTGTGGAGCTTAATAAAGCTATAATTAATGTGCACTTTTGTTAAGTATATGCTCATCACTAAAAATTCCCAAACAACCATACACATCAGAAAATTCCCAATAATTTTCCAAGCTACTTTACCAGGTCTCCGTCGGGACTGGCTCAGACAAGCTGTCGTCAAAATTCTGACGTTTTGGCCAACTCAGCAAAATAAAAAAAATCTGAAAAAGCAGGGCAGCGAAAATCCGTCAAGTGTCGAACTCCGTCGAAATGTGTCTGTATACGTCAGCATGTGACGCAAAGACAAAAGTCTGCTTCTCTTTTATGGGACATTTATGGCTTCAAAGAACGTTACTGCGTCGTTATGGTAATTTTGACATAAAAGGAGAAAATTATGATTGTGAAGTTTTTATAATGCATAAGACCGAGAGGTGCAAAATTTAGTATTGGAAGTCTTTTTGGATTTTGTTGAAAATTGTGAGCACTCTATCTGAGAGGAAACTGTAAGGTTTTTTGGTTTAGGGGAAAGCAGGATAACCGTTTAGGACGTGTTTTCTGCATCCTGCGGTTAAATGTTACACTCATTTTGCTATATTTATGCATTTTCATTAAAATAATCATGTTTAGAATTAATAAATAAACCTCTTTGGTTCTTCGTTAGCGCAAATATCTAACAGTCTTGCAAATGGAGTGGAAAACATGACATGGAGGTCAATTAATGCTCCTAGTGCACTAATTTATTATGAGGAGACATTACATGGAAGCCGTGCTTGAATTCACTATCTGCTCAAACAGAGCAATTCTTATTAGCTTACGTATAAAATGCAGAAAATGTAACCTTTGATCCAACTGGATTGGCGACTGGAAGGCGGGGGGGGGGGGGCTTCATGACCTAATGGCTAGATAGTGGTCAGAGAGCATGCGCCAGAGAAACGTAGACTGCGTAGCGCGAGCGGCCTTGATAGGTCACAAAACCCCGCCTTCTAGCCGCCAAGCCAGTTGAATCAAAGGATAATCAACTAAATTCATCTGTTTTCTTTGCAAAATATGACCGCTCCTCTTAGCGATCTAGAGAATTTGAAAAAAAATTATTAACCGTCAAGAACTCGCATACTCTGACAAGGGAATTTTTTAGTCACAGTGGCTTTTCCAAATGAACAACATACTTCTCTAAACAACATCAAACGCTGAATCCAGATATGGTTTGGTGTCTGCCAAGCGTTTATGGACTTCCAACTATGAGAGTGTTTTTTTAAGTTGAACAAGGAAATAGCAAGGAATCTTTTGAAGTATTAGGCTGGTGCAAAAGTAATGCGCGTTTTTCTAGCCCTTGTTTCAAGATAGCTTATCTCCATCAAAGTTTCTCCTATGAAACTTACCCAGCACTTGTCAAGAAGCTTTTTTCATGCTCTATTCGATGGTGGTTGAAAGAAGCTTCTAGCCTCATTCGTTAAAAATTTATAGAGCTTCATACAAGAGCACTCAAAACCAGAATTTCATTGCACTTACTTTTTGGACCAGAATTCAAGCGCGAATAAAGGGATTTTTTTGAAAACTTAACTACTGTATGTAGTGGAAATTTTCTACATAATGCATGCTTTACTGTCTTCCTAGAAATTACTTAGACTGAGATCTCGGCGCCTCAACATGAGTGATGGTTTTGACCATTCTGTAACCCATAGATTTCCTTTGAAAAGGGCAATCGCCAAAGTTCTGCTCATTTCTGTAAGCGTGAGGGTGGGCCTCCTACTGACAGTTTTTGCAGAAATGTGGAAGCTGTTCAGTACACAGAAAATCAAGAATCTCCATATTATGGGATTTTGAGGGCTACGAAAAAATGTCGAAAAAAGCGGATATTTTGAATATTAATTTTTTCCTTTTCGAAAATATTCTTTATCTGAGCCCTTTTGCACTTTTTTGTACTACTGGCTTGCGGCTACAAGACAGTCAACTTATCATTCATACCGACAAATTCTGAAGTAAGTTATGATCAGTTAAATACGAGGTTTCCAAAAAATTTTTTTTGCTTATCAATCCATATGTTTCTACCGATTTGCGACAATAACATAAATTAATGTGCGCTATATAGAGAGAGGTTTGGTGCCTCTGAAAAACTTTGCCGCACTGAAAAATATGGATTTCTTAAAAAGTTATAGCACGTCAAAGTGAGAACTCGCAAAACGCGCATTATTTTTGCACCAACCTAATAGCTCAAACGGTGTAGTGTTGTCATCAGAGCACTATATGCAAAATGTTATTTTGCCTAACATTCTCAAATCAACTTTATTTGTGCACTGAAAGGACCGAAGCTATCAATTTTACTTAACCTTTGATTCAACAGGCTTGGCGACTGAAAGGCGGGGCTTTGTGACCTAATTAAGGCCGTCGCGCCCGCGACGCAATCTATGTCTCTCCCGTGCGCGTGCTCTCTGGTCATTACCTAGCCTTAATTAGGTCACGAAGCCCCGCCTTTAAGCCGCCAAGTCAGTTGAGTCAAAGAGTTGAGAAAGAGATTCTGGGTGTATATTTTTACTCCAAAAACACTCATTATTCAGCGTTCAGAGGCTTTTGCAGATACACAAAATTAGGAATCAGTAATGCTGTTCGCAACATTATAGATCTCGTCGGGAGAGGCCACCGAAAAGTCTTCCCTTGTGAGTGAATTCTAAGACCCTGGTGATTAGACCCCTTTCTCGATTGCATTGTAAATCGTAAAATAGTTTGAATTTGTGGTGTCAAGCAAAATGTTGATCGGTAATGTACAGTTTTCGATCAACCAAACTTTTCATATAGTTCTACAAGGTTGACACTTTTATTTATTCCTCTCTAATCATTGAGTACCAAGTCATACATTTGAAACGAAAGATGTAGTTTACCTATAACAAGTCCACAGTATTTGGTTTATTATTGTTTTAAGGTTATGCACTTCCCTAGGTGTTCAAATTTGTCTATCGCAACAGCGATAAGCTTAGATCTTTTATTTTTCCCTAAACACCCTTTTCATGGGATACTCCTGTTACATTGAAAGCTTACCCACATATTAATCTCATTTCAGTATCCATCCATTCTCAACTCCCTTATTAGCTGCCACATTTCTAAAAATACGGTATACCTATGCATAGCGAGAAAATCAAAGCAAATACCAAGAAGAGATAAAGGTCTTGATGTGGGAAGCATATAACAAAGAACTTAAGAGGTGCCTTAATGAAAACTTCATGTAGCTGCATGAAAAATGAACACGATATTTTTGAGTTTTGCTTTTTTTGCAAAATTTACTAATTTTTCTTATCTGTTAAGCTCACAAATATACACGCATGGCAGTCAGAGTGATATTTCTATAGTTCTTTATCGCGAGAAAAACAAAAATTCTACCCATAGTGATTAATACCCACTTCTATGGATTCGAAAAAACTGACTCCCGCCCTGACCGTGCCCTTATCAAGCCGGTGCTGTAAATATGATCTGGGAGAGAAATTAAGGATGAGCTTGAGCTGTCGTAGGTGTCACAACCAGGTTCTGCCTGAGAAGTGTAGGTATCCACAGTTGACAAGATACCATTACCTCCGAAGGATGATGTGTATATTGCCCAAAAACTTCAAAAGTCACATCTATCGGGTCCTTCAGCGAACGAATCGTTATGCGCTATCCATCTATATAAGCAAGTAACGCAAGTGTTTGTTTTTTCGGCTCTTAGGGAGTCATCTTCTCGCGCAGGGACGTCTTCAGCTCATGTCTTACACGCCTATCGACCACCACATCCGCTTTTCGATGGGCGATCCCCGGGGAGCCGGGGGCGAAGTCAATACAGAGAGAGCCCCCGTATCAAACCTCTCGGACACATATTCGCCCATTGTTCTGCGATTCCGTCCGTTTTGTGGCCATTCGCGGCGTTTTGCAACGGCTTCCACACATCCCACGCCTCTTGCACTTTACCAGATTCGAGCTGACATCGAATTTATAGCGCTGTTTTGGGCAATTGAAATGCCATCCGCCTTTTTTCAACCATGCATATCTAGCTCATCGCAAATCATGTGAGCTTGGAGTAGATGTTTTTTATAAAATTTATGGGTTTTAGACTGTAAACGTTCATTATGTCGCTGGGTATGAGTGTGTGACTTCCTCTAAGACAGTTTACTGCATTAAAAAATTACCGCACGACATCGAATACAGTCTCTGCCTTGACTTTTTGGATGGAATTATTTTGTATTCATTTATTTTTCTATATTTGAATGTGCACTATAAGTGCGCTAAAAGCAGGTTGGATCACTTTCTGTTTATATCAGAATTATCAGATTTTTTAGACTCTCGTTCTTGATTGAGGAGTCCCAGGGGAGGGTAGCAGAGGTAGTCAGGAGACCCACATTACACTTGATGCCCTCCAAAGAAAGGAGCAAATTTACAATAAGTTATATTTATTCATCTTTTATAATTTTTAGCAAGGTTAAAGCCTTCGCCTTGAAGTAAGGAGAAATTTTTTTTGATTACTAAGTTTCCATTCCCAGCTTTTTTTCACAAAAAAGTTTATTCCTAAATATCTACCCGGAACTATGATTGATCCTATTCTGCTCTCCTCTTGTAGAATTCTTTCTTCTCTTTGTGATGTTCAAGTCCAATTTCAATCTGAACGATTTTATAGAATGGAAATATGGAAATTTTGCTAGAAAAATAAGGGTGTCCCAGAAAATGTGCCTACTATTTGATTATTAATAACTCTCCTGTTATGAAGTCTTTCGAGAGCTTTAGATACCAGTTCGTAAAGCTGCCTTCAGCTGAGACTAACAGTATGGAGTAGGTTATCTTCTCTTTTCATTGGTGTAGGAGTACAGTACTAATTTTGAGGAGGGTTTTGCGTCACTAGAGCGTCATATTTCAGCCCCTAAAAAAGGACTAAAGAAGCTAAAATTCCCACACCAGATTTATCGTAACGCTTTTCTCATAAATTATGCCAGATAGTCGTAATAACCGATTTCTAATATTTGTCAATTACTTTGTACGCTATTTAAAAGCTCTGCGAAACGCGCAAAAAGTTTAGTAAATCTAGCATGCATTGTTACACA